CAATATGCTATTAATACTAATGAATGATTTCATTTATTTTGTCAGATATGAATTTTTAAATGAAGGTTGGTAATATCTCAGTGTGCAACTTCATAGGCCCTCAAGTCGATTTACCTTTGTTTGTCATGGGGGACACTAACAGCATAAAGTTAGATACGATAACTTCATCTGTTAAGTTCGAAATCTTGCTAGGTAATAGCAGATTTGCGTTGATGTGTTAGTTTATAGACGTGAACTAACAGCTGCACAGAGTCGGGCAAAAATCTAGAGAACGGCGTTTTATGTATTCTGTCACACTCAGGTTCACAAACTTCAATTTTCATGATACATTTAATTCGTACTTACAATCGGCACCTGAAAATCAAAAGAAGCAAGGTTTACTTCGAGGCTTTTTGAATATCATCTTCGTATTTGAAGTATTCAATAAAAAATTTTCTGGATATGGCAACTTCATGAATAAGAAATTTTTTTTTGAAAATAGGAAATTTAAAGTAATGAAATTAAAAGCTTCTTTCATAACCCTTATTTAGAATCTTGGTATGAGATGCATTTAGCAGCTCGGTTAATGCTTGTGGCTTAGTTTAAAATGCGGAATCCTACCAAATGACTAACCGTTATCTCAGTTGAATGTTTAAATCCTCAAAATAGTTTTGAAATAGAATCAAACACACACTAAACTAAAAAATTTGCAGTGGTTAATTAAAAGCAGTGAAAGGCAGCTACACCTTTCAGGAAAAGATGACGTCGGGAAAATAGCATGCTTCTTTCTTTTAATGCTGAGAAAGGCTTAATCCTCAAGAGTAACTCAAACCCACAATGCATACCCTTCTAATCCGTTATTTTACCATTAATTTGACAAGGAGACATGATCATTTATAAGCCCTAGTTTATTGCATTTGTCGAGTTTCTTTATTTTTGAAGCAAAATTGAAGCAAAACTGCCAGAATAGCCCATATACCACGTTAAGGCTGATTGCTGTACTAAAACTGGTTCCGCAGTGAAGTGCGGCTATTATAAATGTGGGTGTATTCAAAAATATATTGAAGACGTCTCTATAAGTTAATTTGTGGAGCTAATTAGTTAGCAGTACACTTGACTCCACTCTGCCTTTTCAACTGTTTCCCCTATAAGACCAGCATTTAAGAAAATCTTTTTTCTCGAGATTATACAAAAAAATAAAAATAAAAAAAATAAAGAGTGAGAGTGTTAGAAAATGATAGAATAGGATAAAATTGTTCTATTCTTTATATGCGATAAATGATTTTGAATTTTTTTAATGGTATCAACTACAAGGTGATAATGATATTTCAACTGACTTGCTCTGAAACACTTGTATTAAAAAACTTTGGAAATACTTTATTTAACAAGGAAACGAAGGAAAACACTAGAAATTGGTACAGAAGTTGCTTAACTGCTGTTTGAATGTACGCATTGCTCATGAAAATTCAAATGTGATTTATGCTCGAAGGCTTTTTCACAAATTTTACACTTGAACTTGTGAGTTTCTTGTAAGGGGTGCGTCCGTCTAACATGGCTATCGTGCGCTGCGTGGGAGGCAAAAGTTTTGCCACATGTTGAACACTAAAACTAATACTTTTTGAGGCGACGCTGTTTGAAGCTTGAAGATAATTGCAAACTTGTTTTTTTTTTTACTAGACACCTTTCTAGAAGTATCAGGTAAGTATTTATTAACCACAAATATTTCCTGAATTGACTTAGCACAGAATAAGTGAGAACTTTACGTAAAAAAAGTTCAGGGTAAAGTTACGAGCACTGCTCAAAATTGTTTTGATAGAAAAATTGTTTTCTGAATTGTGTATTCTTTTTAAGGTAGCAGTTTTATTGGAAAAATATATTTAACTGGCTTACCTGAAACGGCTTTTCTCCGCTGTGCTGCCTTATATGCGTTCTTAGTATACTACTGGCTGTAAATCTTTTGCCACAGTGTTCACATTTATATGGCCTTTCGCCTGAGTGAACTCGAAGATGCTGAATAAAACACAGTCTTAACTGACATTCGAGAAATGGCTTACTGTCTATTTGCAAACTTATCAGCTATGCTGGTCGTGAAAAAAAGATTCTCATTTGGCAACAGTCTCAGGCAACAACTCACTACAAAGTGTTGTCATTACATCCTCAAATAGCTTGATAACTGTTGATACCTTGTTTAGACTTGAAGATTGAGAAAAAGATTTGCCACATGCAGAACAAACATGAGGTCTGTGGTTCTCGTGAACATGAAGAACGTGAATTCGTAGACGATCTCTTTTTTCAAATGATCTAAAAAGAGTTTTCAAAAATTTTTGGAGTTTTGAGATAAGAAACTTTTAAATGCTTTATGCAACTACTTATATTAATAATTTATTAAACATTTTAAGTGACTAGATAAACATACTAAAAATTATACTGTTTTGCTTAACCGGAAAACGAAAACATGTTAACTTAGAATTAGCAAAGCAAAGAGCGCTTACCACTTTTTATCATATTTGTAAAACTTTTAGATTTATCATTTTCCTGTAGTATTAGTGGTTTAAATTTTGACTTCATGTAATCAAGTAACAAACAAACCGTGGACACAGTAAACAGCGAAATTTTCTATTTCCTTGATCAACACAACGAGTGTATTTCAGGTGCTTCTCTTTGTAATATTCGTAAGTAAACACTTTACCACAACGATCGCACTGATAACCACTTCTGTTGGAAACTAAAATTAGAATTTTTGTTAAATTAATTTTTTACAACATCTCTTTAAAGAACTTGTGTTGTAGTTTATCTTTAAAAACTTCGTTTATTCTTCTTCTCACTTTTAAAACGCATATTCAAACAATTTCTGTTTTTGACAGGCATTTTACAATACGAAAGCTTAGAACATTTCTAACGACTATGTGCACGAAAACCTTTTGCCGCTGCATAATGAATGCAACCTGTTTTCAAAACTAATATTCTTTACCTCAGCATAAAGAACATATTGATAGGAACCTTTATAAACAACAATAAGATGAAAGAAGGCAAAGCCTAAGTTTTATAAAAGTAGGAGAGCTTGGCACTGGTCAACTCATAACCACTTACAGATGACTAAGTGGTGAATTTCTTATAAATGCTTAGACTAAATCAAAACTAGAGCAGTACAATAAGTTGAATAAGTTCAATAAATACTCCGGTACTTTCATAGATATTGGTAAACATTGCAATAGCATTATTCTCTCATCTCGTGCTACAATTATTAACAGGGAAAAACAGCAAGAGCTTAACAGTTTAAACACGGTACAAGAAAATGTATTTTAGTTTAGTGACAGCTCTAGGAGAACTGGATAAATTGAGATTTCAAGCATAGCGAGAATAATTATGAGTTTTCGGAAGAAAAGTTCTAGGTGAGCAGTATATACTTGTTTCACTCAGTGCCACATAATAACCGTGCGACTGCTTAGCATTAAAAAAGTGACTTTAAAACGGTGTCTTACCTCCACAGCCAAAAGCGGTTTCTTTCAAAAAACGCAATTTTTAGATAAAAGTAGTTAAACAAGTGATTAAATAAGAGAAGCTAGAGCATCAAACGAATAAATGCGATAAAAATAAACGAGTAGACCTTATGAGAAAGGAAAATTATCAAAATTTTCGTTTATACATTTGCTTTTCTTACATTTTTAGTTTTCATTTTAACTTTTTAATTGAGCAAGCAGTAATATTTTACCGCAGGTAACATTTGAGTCAGGTATACTTTTAATGGCAACAGACTGGTTTGACGCTGCAAGTGAGATCGTAGCTTTCGATGTTTCATCCAGTATTATTTCTTCGCCAAATCCAATTGGCTTGATAACTTTGTTATTCTGAACATTTGCATTCCTTGTTTTACTTGTTCTGCATATCGCACGCCAGCTGCTCTCTAGCTGAGAACATTTATTATTGATTAAGTTGATTTACAGAGATTATCCCACTGTTTCAAATTGTAAAACAGAGCAATTATATCACCGCTATTTTATACGTTCTTTTTCGCAATGTTTACTTTTGGCTGCTCACACTTCAAACACCAAAATATATTAAACCGATAGTTATTGTTGCTTTTTTTGTTTTTAGAACAGCGGTTGCAGTTATTGTTGTTAGTATTGCTTTTCTAGAAGACTAAATAATTTCTTGAGACTACTGCAAAAATAGTCAAATATAAGAACCTTTCTTTTTTTTTTTT